CACTTTGCAGAACTGGAACTCATAAAATAACACACATCAAGGCGCTTCAGGAGAATTGCTTTGGTTTAATTTGGTAAGGCTTGTGAGCGGGACAACAAACAAATTCTGCTTCTCATTCTAGTCTAAGTGTGTGCAAAACTTAATCTTGAAGTTAATTACAATTGGGGTCTTTTGGGGTACACTAAGTTCACGCTGTTTACTTCTTTGTTTCTCAAGTATAGCATTTGACTTAATGACTTTTGATTGTTTTTGTAGAAGTGCACTCATTGCTTGAAGCGAGCTTTAGTGAGACTTCCTTCCCCTTTAACTAAATGTGCACTGGGGAGCAGAAATGACCAGTTATTTTGATTGATGCTGACAAGGTGATTTGGAACACAACTGACCACCAATAGCGGCAATAGTGAGTGAATGGAAGCTGGTCTTTGTTGCCATTGCCAGAGACGGAAATGTCTTGAATGAGGACCAAGAATGTGCCTAACAACTGTCCTGGGTGGTCTGTCCACATGTCCAACAATGCCTGTTGTTACAAAGACAGTTAATTGTCCATCCCAGCGGTAGAAATGCTGTTTTGTGACCTATTATTTCAGGTCTGCTTATGTTTTGAAAGCGAATTTGTCCTTGATTTGGCACAATTGGTCATTTAAGGTGAGTGAATCCTCATGGTTTTCATTTATCAGACTCGAGTTGAAGGTATTCCAGGGTTTATGAAGATTCATATCATGTTTTGTCTTGATGAACATGAGTTTACATTTACATTTATTCATTTGGCAGACGCTTTTATCCAAAGTGAATTACAGCTGAGGAATACAACAAGCGATTTATCATAAAATGGCAATAAATTTGTCCATCCCAGCGGTAGAAATGCTGTTTTGTGACCTATTATTTCAGGTCTGCTTATGTTTTGAAAGCGAATTTGTCCTTGATTTGGCACAATTGGTCATTTAAGGTGAGTGAATCCTCATGGTTTTCATTTATCAGACTCGAGTTGAAGGTATTCCAGGGTTTATGAAGATTCATATCATGTTTTGTCTTGATGAACATGAGTTTACATTTACATTTATTCATTTGGCAGATGCTTTTATCCAAAGTGAATTACAGTTGAGGAATACAACAAGCGATTTATCATAAGATGGCAATAAATACGAGAAGTGCCCGTTATACAAGGTTTCAGTCGTCGTTCAAAATAGTAAAAGCTAGGACAGGAAGAGATAAAGGATAATAATAGAATAGAAAAAGTGAAGGTAAAGACATTTTTTTTTTAGGAGGATGCAGTTAGATGCTCACAGAAGAGGTGAGTTTTCAGTTGTTTCTTGTAGATTGTGAGGGATTTTGCTGTCCGGATGGAATTAGGTAGGTCATTCCACCAACAGGGTACAGTGAAAGAAAGCATCCTTGAGAGTGATTTTGTGTCTCTCTATGATGGGACCGCTAGCCGCCGCTCATTTACAGACAGCAGGCTTCTGGAGGGGATGTAGACGCGTAGGAGGGTGCGGAGCACGTGGCTGATCTGTAGGCAAGCACCAATGTCTTGAACTTGATGCGAGCCGCAACTGGAAGCCAGTGCAGAGAGATGAGAAGCGGTGTGATATGTGCTCTCTTCGGCTCATTGAAAACAAGACGTGCTGCTGCATTCTGAATCATTTGCAGAGGTCTGATTGCACATGTTTGAAGTCCAGCCAGAAGAGCATTGTGATAATCCAGCCTAGAAAAGACAAGAGCCTAAACGAGAAGCTGTGATGCATGCTCTGTTAGGAAGGGTCGGATCTTCCTGATGTTGTGTAGTGTTTTTGCAATATGATCTTTAAAGGTCAGCTGATCATCAAGAATCACCCCAAGATGGCCGAACATGATGGGATTATTGTTGATGAGCCCAGTTGGATGGTAATCTGGTGCTGTACTGATGGGCTGGCTGGGAAGATGAGAAACTGTCTTTGCCAGGTTGAGCTGCAGGTGATGTTCTTTCATCCATGCTGAGCTGTCCATCAGACAGTCTGAGATCCGAGCAGGTACCGTTGGATCATCTGGTTGAAATGAGAGGTAGAGCTGCGTGTCATCAGCATAGCAATGGTAGGAAAAACCATGTGCCTGAATGATGGGTCCCAGTGATGTAGTGTATATAGAGAAGAGGAGGGGTTCAAGAACTGATCCCTGAGGAACCTCGGTGACCAGTTGATGTGATTTGGATTCCTCTCCTCCCCAAACCACTCTGAAGGACCTACCTGTGATGTAAGACTCAAAGCAGTGGAGTGCAGTTCCGGTGATGCCCAGCGATGAGAGGGTGGACAGAAGGATTTGATGATTAACCATGTCGAAGGCAGCAGATAAGAGCATGAAAAATGAAGATTTGGACTCAGATCTTGCACTCCGAAGCGCTTCAGTGACTGACAGCAAGGCGGTTTCAGTTTAAAGGCAACTTTTCAATCCAGATTGGTTATTGTCCAGCCGGTTATTCTGTGAGAGGAAGGAAGACACTTGGTTGAAAACAAAGCGTTCAAGTGATTTTGCTGTGAAAGTGAGGAGAGAAACGGGCCTGTAGCTTTCAACAAGTGAGGTGTCTAGTGAGGCAGCAGATAAGAGCATGAAAAAGGAAGATTTGGACTCAGATCTTGCACTCCGAAGCGCTTCAGTGACTGACAGCAAGGCGGTTTCAGTTTAAAGGCAACTTTTCAATCCAGATTGGTTATTGTCCAGCCGGTTGTTCTGTGAGAGGAAGGAAGACACTTGGTTGAAAACAACGCGTTCAAGTGATTTTGCTGTGAAAGTGAGGAGAGAAACGGGCCTGTAGCTTTCAACAAGTGAGGTGTCTAGTGTAGGTTTTTTTAAGCAGTGGGGTTACCCGTGCCTGCTTGAATGCGGTGGGGAACATCGGTTAACCAAGGGTTGGAGGGAGTAGCTCGTGCAGGTCTGGAGCAAATAGGACAGATATTGTCTAGGCACATCTTTCCAGCTCATCTTATGTAATAATTTGTTATGTAATATTATGAACATTGCCAAAGGTTTATTCATATTCAGATATTTCAAAAGGAAATGCTAATGCTCCTGAATGTTTTGATCCTGACTTGTGTTGCTTGCTTTGGTTTCTGTAAAACCCTTTTTCATATTTTTAGATTGCAATCTTTCAGGATTTGATATGCAATGCATGCATGATAGTTTTGTGTGTATATTATATGATGATAATGAGTTTGAGTGACTGGTTGACCAGTCTTAAAAGTGCAATACGATGGTTTTTGCTTTTTGAGAAATAGCTTGTAGGTGATGTTAGGGGATTGGGTCTAGAGGGCAGGTGGTAGGGTGGCTGGAGAGGATAAGTTTAGAGACTTCATCTTCTGTAAGAGGAGAGAAGATGGTGCTGTGTGAGTGTTTGCTGTGAGTTCGTGGGTGAATGGAGCCGAGAACTGATTGCTGATGGATGTGGTTTTGTTTGTGAAGTAATAAGCAAAATTGTCAGCAGTTAAAGAGGAGGTGGGAGGTGGCGGAAGGGGACAAAGGAGAGTATTGAGTGTTTTGAAGAGTTTGCGTGTGAAGATAATGAAGATAGCAGTGACTGATACCTGCTGAGATCAGCTGAATCTTTTGATTTGCATCATTTTCTCTCTGCTGCCCTGAGTTTAGTCCGATGCTCGTGGAGGACATCGGTTAACCAAGGGTTGGAGGGAGTAGCTCGTGCAGGTCTGGAGCAAACAGGACAGATATTGTCTAGGCACATCTTTCCAGCTCATCTTATGTAATAATGTGTTATGTAATATTATGAACATTGCCAAAGGTTTATTCATATTCAGATATTTCAAAAGGAAATGCTAATGCTCCTGAATGTTTTGATCCTGACTTGTGTTGCTTGCTTTGGTTTCTGTAAAACCCTTTTTCATATTTTTAGATTGCAATCTTTCAGGATTTGATATGCAATGCATGCATGATAGTTTTGTGTGTATATTATATGATGATAATGAGTTTGAGTGACTGGTTGACCAGTCTTAAAAGTGCAATACGATGGTTTTTGCTTTTTGAAAGTAAGACTTTCATATTTTTACATAACTTTCACATAATCATATGATAAGTTACACACACACATTTACATATCAAAACATTTTATAGTGGTGCTGTAATTTCACATGCTTTTAGTACTAAAAGTATAATACTTTTAGTATTATATACTTGTATTTATTAATATTTTAAATGAGCTTTTATTTTCAGTTTCATTTTAATTTTAGTTATACGCTTTTGTCCTTTTTTAATTATCTGGTAAATCATTTCTATATGGTTTAATTTATTGTTATTTTAATTTTTATTTCATTTTAGTAATTTTATTACTTCAATATAAAACATATTTCAGTTAGCTGCCAAAGCAGCATTTCTGAGTAATATTGTTATTTTCTTTTCTTTTCTTTTCTTTTCTTTTCTTTTCTCTTGTTCTGTTTTATTTCAGTTACTTAAAATTATTTTTTAATAGTTTCAGTTTTAGTTAACAATAGCAAGAATAATGTACTTGTGTTGGTGTTGTTATACTTTTGTAATTTCTAATTATTTTTTAAAAACATTTCTATAGTTTCATTTTTATTTCAGTTTAGTAATTTTATTATTTCAATATAAAACTTATTTCAGTTAGTTGCCAAGGCAACATTTGTTTTATTTTTTTATTTTATTTTATTTTGTTCTGTTTTATTTCAGTCATTTAAAATGATTTTTTTAGTTGATGGTTTTGATAGTTGTTTAGCTGAAAATGATAGTTTTAGTTAACAATAGTAACAATAATGTGGTTGTGTTGGTGATGTGGATTTGAAACTGTCTATGATATTATTCACACAACTGGCAGATGTTGTTATTCATCTGGTTATTGCAAGAGTTTGTCAGTTTTCAAGAGCGCACACTTCAGGTATGTTTTCTTCAGGTGTTAACAGGCTAATAGTTCAGCAGAAACAGCTGATGAAACCGCATGTTCTTATGTCCGCTTGCAGGTGTAAAGACGTGTGAACAGCATCTCTGTGTTTCTGTGTGTCCTACAGCTGTGTGCAGTTACGGCGTGTGCTTTAATGGAGGTCAGTGTAGAGAAAGTTCAGCTCAAGTCTGCCTCTGTCCGGCCGGATTCAGCGGTCCCAGCTGCCAGTACGGTAAGTCCAAACAAACTGAACACTTTCCACTATTAGTTTCTTCGTCCCTTTTGCTGGATCTGGAAAAAAGTTTTTGATTCTTATGAATGTTTGAGAAACAACTTATATTAAATGGGGTTAGCTGATATGAATAAAAACAAGCTGATTAGAAAGCTCTCATTTAAAAAAGAAAAGGCCATATTCTTACAAAGTCCTGTTGGTTTATCAATATAATTTTTTTTTTAAACTAATCATTTTTTTATTAATTGCACAAGTAGCTGACCAGGTTTACATTTCACATTTTTGTTGAAAAGATGCAATTGTTAGAAGAATTAACTGTTATATATTAAGAATATAAAAAAGTCAATAACTTTACATTTCTTCACTTTTGTGCATGCTTGCTTTATTTATATATATATATTTATTTATACTAATAATAATGTATGTATGTATGTATTGTATTGAAATTATACAGCACTATTTATTGCATCATATTTTTATACAAAATCTTTCATAATCTTTTTTATTAATAAAAAATACTGTATTATTATTATTATTATTATTATTTATATACTATTTATTTTATTTAATGCAATTCATTTTAATTTATTTGTATTTTTAATTTTCTTTAATTTATTTTTATTTAAATGCAATCCAATTAGCTGACCAGGTTTACATTTCACTTCAAGTTGAATCCTGTATCCTGTTTAAAAAAAGTCTGTATCCTGTTTTGTTTTTTTTATCTTGAAATCTAGTAGTTTTTGCGTGTGTATTTGTTCTAGAAAATATAAAGTGTAGTTCAGTCAGGACCACTCTGTTTGATTTCTATTATTGTAGAGGTCCTGAACATTATTTTGGCGGCAGGCTTTGCTCGGAAGGGTTCAGATTCTGAGCTGTCCACAAGCAAACCTCACTGAAAATTCTGCAATTACCAGAATTTTTAATATGCAACAGATATAAAATTCCATGCAGAAGAGATACAGGTCTGTAAATGAGACTGGACAAGATTAAGCAACGATTAGCTGATAGATGATTTCCGTGGACACGACGCTAAGTGACCATGTGGCTGTATAAGGAGGAGTTGGGGATGGAGGAGGGTAAGCGCATGTCTGTGCGACAGACTAAATCAAGTGTGAGTACAGATGAACTTATATATCTTATTTAATTGTAGTGGGAGGAGCTACAATCAGCTGAGCGTCAGCCGATGCTGGCTGTCACGCTGTGGTCTGCCTGAACTACTCTTGAGCTCCATTCGTTACCCAAACTACATTTCTAATGATTTTGACCGCATTTCCTTTTGAATAAATGCATGTTTCCCCCCACAGAGCGTTTTCTCGTGCTGTCTGAGTCTCTAATGTATTGAAAGCCAAGAATTTTATCTGTAACGGCAATCATAGCCGGTGAGAGAGGATGCTAATAATGGAGGATGTTGTTTTTCGGCGATAATCTACACACGACAGGAAATTCTTCACAAATCTTGCCCTACATTTTTAGTTACTGTAGTCTCCTCTTTTTCCAGGAGAGTGATAACAGACGCTGGTTGTGTTGCAGTGTTGCAGACAGATTCAATTAATTACACAGCTTTCAGCAACATTATGGACGTCTAAGATGTTGCTTGCATATTCTCTTCCAGAGACTCTGGATGCATCTGAAGTAGCTTGAATTAGCATGACCTGATGGTTTTCGTCTGTTTTGAGTTTCATTTTTTAAGTCTGTTTGCTGTATCTTCAAGACAGAGTCAGATGTGCACAGCTGGTAACCATTGGTCATTTATTGTGGACAGTTCCTGATGTGTGTGTCGTTAAGAGTGATGCTGATTGATTCGGTCGGCATGCACAAACACATATGAAAACAGTAACAGCCACAGTCTCTTGTAGGAAAGTATAATTGTGACTGTGACCTAGTTTTACCCCGTATAACTTCTGTAATGCCAGACTGACACTGAAAAAAACAGAGACAATCAGGGAGAAAATATGGGTGAATCTCACGAATCCTGTTGAGAGTAAATTATATTAACAATATGTATTAAGATTTTATACAATCTTTCTTGCATTATTTTTATTATCATAGTTTCATGCATGCCTATTTATTTATTCTTGCTGTTGTATTGATGCTAATAATGAATGCAAGCTGTTATTGTATAAAAATTATACAACACTATATATATTGTATAATATTTTATGCAATATCTTTAATTATTGTTATTATTATTATTTAAATTATAGATTATATTTCTTCACTTTCATGCACGTATGTTTATTTTTTATTTATTCTCGCTGTTGTCGAATAATAATAATGCATGACATGTTATTGTATACAAATTATACAACACTGTTGTATAATATTTTTATATAGTATATTTCATGCATTATTATTATTATTATTATTTATTCTCTCCTCTAAGATAATTCAGTGGCTAGAAATTGCCGTCTGAGTGCAATTATTATATAATTATTTTCAAAAACCTTTATTCTGTAATCACAAATGTTTGGAAAAGTAATGGTGGTTAGGGTTAGAGTTTGAAATATGTAGGAACCCTACATAAAACTGTGTTTATGGATATTATGTGTTTATTTCTCAGCATGTGTCTGGACGTTGCATCCACTGAAAGAGCAGAATAGATCTGGGATTTTTATTCATGAATTCAGAGGGAGTCTAAGAGTCGATTTATGAGTTGGTAATTTTCTAATTAGCCTTAATTCTACAGTGTACAGAGGTGTGGATATATCTCATGTCTCAGTTTTTAGTCCGGTCTTTAGGATCAGAGAAGGGTTTTCTAAGCTCTGTCTTCTAGTTGGCTTGAGTTTTCTGATGGAATCCAAACTTTGGCTGTTGTAAGTAAAAACAAGCTACTTGCTTATGGAGATTGGATTAGACAAGGAAACCCCAGGGACTCAATGGAAACATGTTTATCAAGAGCTCAGCACACAGTACAGACAAGAAAATATGCTGGAATGATAAATATTCCTCAGTAGTTTCTCAGAACGCGATGGTGACGACAGCTTGTTTGTGGAAATGAAGCTAAACCATTTGAGAAGAGAGTTGATATGCAGGACTCGTGTACGTTTTGCAATGAAATGTGTGGAGGGGTCATTCGGTTATCTGAGGTAATGACCGCAAACAGGTGTTGGATTCACAGAGGGGAATGTTTATGAATGATAAAGCTGGCATGTATTGTGTCATGATGCTAAAAATATGAAGGAGTCATGAAGCTATAAAATCAAATAAAATCACTATCTTAGATAAAATATTTTAAAAACCCTTAAACTTAGTTTATTCAGCAACATTTCTTATTCTATTTTAGTTTAATTTGATGTAATAAAAATAACTAAAACTGAAACTGAAATGTAAATTAATAAAAAACTATACAGACAAAACCCTAAAAACTAATAAAAATGACAAACACACACAAAATTACTAAAACTAAAATGAAACAGCCACAGTCTCTTGTAGGAAAGTATAATTGTGACTGTGACCTAGTTTTACCCCGTATAACTTCTGTAATGCCAGACTGACACTGAAAAAAACAGAGACAATCAGGGAGAAAATATGGGTGAATCTCACGAATCCTGTTGAGAGTAAATTATATTAACAATATGTATTAAGATTTTATACAATCTTTCTTGCATTATTTTTATTATCATAGTTTCATGCATGCCTATTTATTTATTCTTGCTGTTGTATTGATGCTAATAATGAATGCAAGCTGTTATTGTATAAAAATTATACAACACTATATATATTGTATAATATTTTATGCAATATCTTTAATTATTGTTATTATTATTATTTAAATTATAGATTATATTTCTTCACTTTCATGCACGTATGTTTATTTTTTATTTATTCTCGCTGTTGTCGAATAATAATAATGCATGACATGTTATTGTATACAAATTATACAACACTGTTGTATAATATTTTTATATAGTATATTTCATGCATTATTATTATTATTATTATTATTATTATTATTATTATATTTCTTCCCTTTCCTGCATATTTATTGATTGATTGATTCTTGCTGTTGGTGTAATAATAATGCATGAAAGATATGTTATTGAATAGCATTATACTGCACAATATACTCTATTTATATTTTTATACAATATATTTCATGCTTTATACTTGTTATTGTTATTATTATTTTTATTAACAGAATAACCAACATATCACTCTTAAAAATAAACATTCTTTTTTGGCACTGATTGATTCCAGGAAGAAGCTTTAACATTCATATCCTTTCCATCCACAAAAAGTTCAAAATGTTCTTTAGATCATTCAAATTCTTTACACAGCTATAAACATCTGGTCAGGCCTCGGAGAAACCTCTGAATTCTGCTGCGCTTTCTGTTCAAATGGCACTCAGAACAGCAGCCTTGTGGATGAAAGTCTCTGTGAGTTTATGAAGGAAAATCATTTCGGGATTCATGAAATCCACAACTGCCAGATGATTTTTGTCAGTTAAGTCAGTTCTAGTCTTGTTTGCTGATTCCATTCCATGACAGCGACCCATGATGCCTCTGATGAAGCAGGTGATGCTGTTTGACATGTTGTGCTTTCAGCACGTAATGAATTTCGGCAGTGGGAACAAAGGCTCTGTTTGAGATTCCCATTCCCCTATCACTGTATTCTCTGTCATCACCAGATGAGTAAAACCCCACCAGAGAGGCTAATGTGTGTTGTATTAGTCTCTTTTTAGAGCTACTGAACTTGGCACATGCAAAGGTAACTAATCAAATCATGTCAGAATGGTTTTGCAGAAGTGCATATGGAAAGCATGCAGTTTGTGCATTTCTGTTTTACTAGAATGGATAACCAGACGGTCCGGATAAACAACTAAAAGCATGCATATTCAGATCCAAAATTTTGTGAAAATCATTGATGCACATGATTGCACAGCTGCATGCATGATGCACCGTCATGGTTGCATGTTCATTATATTCCAGTCAGTTCAGCGTTTAATGGTCCATACTGACAGGTCTCTTTCTTTGTGGAATAATTGTGGCTCTTTCATTTGA